AACCCGGAGCCCATGGGTGGTGGGAGGACCTCAGGACAGTGCCAACTGCCTTCTAAGTGGCTGTTGCACATCACTGTCATCATTCTGAGCCCTGGTGGCGGTGTCTCCTCTCCCCAGTCTCCGTCAACATCCACGTGTGAGATCCCAGCTGCAGAAGCATCATTATCGAGGTGAGAGAATGTTCTTGCCAGCCAGCCAGCCGGCTCTGCTCCTGGGGGCTCGCTCTGTCCCATGCCGGAGTCGGTGTCAGGATCCATCAGGCGGAGACACCCACCCCATGGCTGGAGTTGACCACCACCAAGAGTGTTTCGTGAGGTCCCATCTCCTCCAAATGTCATCATCTGAAGGTCAAATGCTCACGGCAGGGGCTCAGTAACCCCACTGACAAATAACGGGCGTGACAAGTGGACCTCACGTGGGCTCCCAAACACAGCCATTGTCTCTAATCCCCTTGGACATTGAAGGTGGAGAAGGGAGAAGTCGGGGAGGACTCCTTTAGAAAATGAGGGAGGGTCCCGATGAGGGAGGGGCCTCCCCCTCCTCCCCAGGCTGTAGGCCAGCCCTCTGGGCCACCAGAAACATAGAAGATAGATAGAATCTCTTTTTTGCCTCCCTCACGCTCCATCATAGACAAGAAAACTGAGACTTTAAGAGGCCCAGTGGCACAGACCTGGCAGGGGCACAATGACCCTGAGTAAGGCTGGTAGCAGCTGAGAGGAGGAGGAGGAGGCCCCTAGCTTCAGGGCATGTCATACCTCCAAGAGAGAACCCCATGGTCAAGACACTTGGGGGAGATGTACAAAGGAGTAAGAGCCTCAAAAGGCAAAAAGGGTCCCCAGAGCCCACGGGGTCCCTAAGGGCTGCAAGGCAGACAAGAACACCGGCAGGAAGCAGGGAGTTGGGGGCTTCCACAGCCACCGTCCCTGGGCCACCGGGTCACAGTTCTGTCCCCACCCACGGTCCCTTCACCACCAGTATTCTTCTAAGCATATCACATGCTCTTAATTATTTTATTAATAATTGGTGTCGCCACCGTAAGGACACCAAGGCACAGAGCCGCTCTGGCATCCATCTAAGGTCACAGCTGGCAGGCAGCGGAGCCAGAACATCACACAGGGCTGCCCAGCCAGCGCCAGAAGGCTGGGACCACTGTCTCTCCCTGCCCCAGCCATTAAGGGCTGCAGGGGTGGACGGCAGTGGCCTTCCAGTCCTTGGTCATCCTGTGTCCGCCTTGAGCATCACAACCCTTCAAAAAGGAGTGCCGAATGAACAAATGAATGTATGTGTTATTTCTCTCCATCAAGGGCTTCGAAGTCTCATTGAACTCGAGCTGAGCACCCTCGAAGGCCCCTCCAATATTTTCTCTCCTGGCTGAGCGGTCTGCTTCCCTGGTGAGGTCTTGAGTCAGGTGTGGGGACAGTCTTGTGAGTGCTGACCACTTGTCTGCACCCTCCACGGCCACTCCTTCCCCATGAGGCTGAGGCTTCTGCAGACACTCCAGCCCCAGGGCCAGCACCTATCGCATACCTATACCTGTGTGCCTGTGTGCATGCCCACACGGAGCCAGGTGCCCAGAGGGGCGGAGAAGCTGGCCTCTCCACCAGCTGCTCTCTCCCCTCGACACCCTGGTTTCCTGGAATCGAGGGTGCCTCCTGGCATCCTGCGCCCCAGGTCTCAAGCGGGTCTGCTTCCTGCTTTGCTTTCTTAAGGTCCCCCAGTGGGTGTGTCACATCCCTGGTGTCGGAAAATGTCAGCAGAGGGGCTGTCCCAGGGCTGACATGGGGGTCAGGCTCAGAGCTCCTAGTGAGCTTAAGTTTCATCAACACACCCCTCCCCGCTGCACTAAACCCCTGTGGCAGGGTGTGTGGCAGCATCCTCTCAGGTCTGAGCTACTTGTTGGCACATGCTTTAAAGAGCATTGACAACCTGGGCCAATGGCAGCGTCACAGATCACCCAGGTTCACGTCCTTTCTCTGCAGTGTTCTAGCTGTGTGACCCGGAGTGAGCTGTCAAATCACTCTGAGTTCAAAACTCATCTGTAAAATGGGATGAAAAACAACAACAACAACAACAACAACAACACAGGGCACATATGTAAGGCTGGAGCACACTAATGACAGGATGCTTAGAGCAGAGAGTCTCCAGAATTGCCTCGCCTCAAGAGGAGAGACTCAGAGGGCCTCCCAGAAACAGGACTTCTTGAATGGGGTTCTGAGGGATCTTTAGGAGTTTGTGAGTGGATTGCTTGAGTGTAGAGCTGTTTCACCCTCAGAGGTCAGCACGTGACAATGGAAATCAGTTTATTTCTAGTTTCTGTTTGCGGCCACCCCCAAACCCAGCCTCCAACTCTGAAGGTGACACACACGGTCCCAGCCTCATGCCACCTTCCAAGTGGTACCTAGAGCTGCAGACTGAGCACTGAGGAAAGACCTAAAAGCAGTCTAGTCTAAATACCTGGTGCACTGATAGGAATGGGGCCAAGGGGAGCTCCCCAGGGTCACCAAGTCAAGGACAGTGACATCGAAGAACCCAGTCTTATCCTGATGACCATAGCGTGTCTCTGGAGTCAAACAAGGATGTGGTATGGTCACCTGTGGTCCTTAGTGAGATTATCTTGGGAGGGTCCCTGGTGGAAGGTTTTGTTCCCGACTTGCACCCTGCAGCTACATGCAGGACAGCTGTGAGTGTCGCCCATCACAGAACTGTTTTAAGTATAAAAAAAAAAAAAAAGTATGTGATTTTTTTTCTTTTTTACCTTAATTGTGTGGTTCTCACACAATTGTGTGGATTTTATAGATGACATCATGTTGCAAAGTCAACATGGACATGCCTGGTAGATGGGTCATGGAGACAGGTGGGCTAGGGAGGAGGCTGAGCAGGGAGGAGGCAGCAGGTGCTGGTGCCTGGCCCGGGGGAGGCTGGAGTGTCGGATGGGAGGCAGTGCACGGAGGGAGACTCCAGTCATGAGGAGGAGAGCGGAGTCCAAGGCCACCTCACCTGACTGTCAGCCTCATCCTCAGCCCCGTGTCCTGGGCAGTGGAGCTGTGAGAAGGGCTTTTCTTCCTCCCACGGTGTGGTGGGCATTGCATCGTTTTCTTTCTTCGAGGTTGGCTACCAGGAGGCTAAGACAGAGCTTCCCGGTTTTCCGCCTTTGGTAGGAGTGTCTCCTGGCAGGTTTGCACTCCGAAAAGTCTAGGGACTGAGGAGCCTGGAGTACAGACTCTATGTCTCTACCCACTAGCGGCTAGACTTCTCAACTACCCCGGCCTCGATTTCCTCATCTGCAAAGTGGGAAGCAAACACCTGCCTCTCAAGGCCATGAGAGGTGATATATCTTTTTGGTGGGGGCAGAGGAAGTTGACTAGTTTGTGGTTATTTATTTAAATTTGTTTCTTTTGGAACAGGAGCTTGTCCTGTAATCCAGACTGACCTGGAACTCACTATATGAACCAGGCTACTTTCAAACCTGAGATCCCCCGGTCTTAGACACCACCCCCCCCCATCCTGGGGTACAGATTGAGCCACAGTGCCAGCCTCCAATGTGTTCTGGTGTTTGGGTTTTACTTTCGCTTTCTTGAGACTTCCTCTGTTGATCATCACAGTGCCATCACACTGAATAAGGCAAGGCTGGATTTTGGCCTTTGACTTGAACAAAATATTTCTACCATAATTCACCTGAAAACTTGGGCTCTGGAAGTTGCTTAGAGCAGAGATGCAACCTGGGGAATGAAGAAGGAACAGGCCAGGCTAACAAGGACACAGGAGAGGCCTGAAGCTTCTCCCTCCCCTCCGCCCCCCCTTCCTTGCACCCCTAGGTGCTCCCAGCTGCTTCCTGCTCCCCACTCTGCACCTGAGGCTCTCCAGAGCCTGGGTTATGCCTACTCTCCAGCTGGTACCTTTCCCCTGAAATCTGACCCTGGGAATCCTGGCACCCCCTTCCCTGCACTACCCTGCCAGCTGCTCCCTCCTGGCCCCTCTCCCAAGATATCCACAGAACATGCGGTGTCACTGGCATACGGTGGCCCCTTTCTACACCTTGCACCAGCTCAGGTCTCCCACCAGACCTGGGGAACAGCTGGGCTTCTGGGCCCCTTGCTCATTGCCCTCTCAGCTTTCCAGCCTGCCCCATCTCAGCATCTGCTCTCCCTGCCCGGAGACTCAGCCCGGGAAAGTGAAGAGCTCATTTTGTAGAAGGAAACAGAGAGGCAGCCTAACCCAGACATATCGCTAGGTGCCAGCTCTCAGCAGTTGGGACTGCCCCAGAAACAGTACTGCAGAATCTAAAAGCTGCATCCAGCCTCTGGTGGAAGGAAGACTGATTAAGTATTAAGATCTGCCCTGCACAGGGGCAATTGGTTAACAGTGTCTGCCATGTATAGGTGCAATTGATTAGCAGTGTCTGCCATGTATCTATGCAATTGATTAGCAATGTCTGCCATGTATAGGTGCAGTTGATTAGCAGTGTCTGCCATGCATAAGTATAATCAACTAGCAATGTCTGCCAGATGAGCAGCTTCATGAATGGTGGAGATGGCTGACTATTGTTTCTCAAGACACTGCAAAAATCCCGATAGTTAAAAAGTGATCATTACGATAACTCCATGGGGTGGGGGGAACGGGGGGGGGCAGATAGATAAATGAATGATAGATCGGTTCATGATCTATGATCCACTGGAACACTTGCCCAAGCCTGGATGTGGAGCTAGGGGAAGTTGGAGCATATCTGTGCACAGAAACCTGATTCCTATAAATGACAAAGATGTTCTCAGCATCGATGCTTTGTTCAGAGGAAGTTTCCCTCGGTTTCCAGCGGTATCGTCCTTCTAGACTGAAATGTCAGGCTTCCAACAGCAGTGGAATAAACATTATCCCTCTGCTCTCCTCCTCGCAATGCCGGGGAGGGAACCAGCCAGGCAGAGCTCTGGCACCAGGCTCCACCCCCAGATCAGGGTCACACCTTACGTAGTTTTATTGTACCTGCTTTTTATGATTGCCTTTTATTTATAGAAAGATTGAGTTTTCCAGCCACAGAAGTGATATGATGAAAAGTCTTTAAATATGTGTATTTAAACAAACAAAAAAAAAAAAGAAGGAGTTAAAAACTTCTTAGGGAATAATTACAAAGACGGCATGCACAGATCATTAAAAGAGAGAGAACCAAATCCTCCTCAGGCCTCTTCAGACAGTGGAAATAAGTTCTACTTCTGTTTGGGAGCTAAGGCAAAGGAATTCCAAAGGTTTACATTTGCCCAGGATACACAGTCAAGAGTATGGATGCGAAGTTTGGGTCTAATCCATTATTGAGACAGAGGAGGATGGCCGCAGACAGCATCCTGTGGCAGGAGGGGATGTGTGGGATTTCATACAGAAGGAAGCAGGACTTCTGAACCCTGGTAGGCAGGAAAACTCTTGCATGGGACCCGAACACCCTCTGCATTGGCTCATCCTTTCTTGCTAAGCTTTGGGGCCTTGTCTCAAGCACCAGCTCCCAGGACATCTGATGGAGAGATAATCTGCTTGGTTAGATCAGGCCCAGCCTCTGTGACAGACCCTCTATGCTCAGGCTGCCAATCAGCTTGTAGGCCTGTGGTCTGGCCAGGCAGCCAATGAGTATGAGCAGGAACCATGAGGCAGGCACTGTGGACAGGGCATCCATTAGCTAGGCCTGGGTTTCTGCTTCCCTTAGGAGATAGGATCTGACTGATCAGCATGGTGCCACCAACCCTGGAGCAGTGACAGACACTGAGACCTGTGCTGGAGGAGCTGCCTTAGAGAGCAGCACTCTCCTCTGAGGGTGAGATGGGACACCTAGGCATAGGTGTTCTCTTTGCCTGGGCTGCTGGGACTAGGTGGCGCTAACCTTCCTGCAGGCTCCCTCGTGAACTGATGAGGTGGGCGTGGGAAGATACATCAGCCGCTGGCGCGTAGGTATTTGTGTTCACGCTGAGCCCATCCCTGGGAGGTCAAGAGACAGCTCCAAAGAAGGAAGATGGGGCAGGCATTATCCCCATCAACTCCTTCTAGTGTGGACCAGGGAAGTGTGAGTGTGCTAGGGAAGCCGCACTGCCCTTGGAAGCAGGACTTACAGGTGAAGGTGAGGGACGTTTGTCACCTAGGGGAGGCACAACAAACAGTGCCCCAATGGGTGTCACTCAAGAGGGGGACTCCAGGGGACCCCGTGGGATCCTTGTGAGGTTTCCACAAAGGACACAATGCTGACACAGTGCTTGTTGTGTATGCTTTTTTGGGGGAGAGTGGCGGGGTGGGGGGAATACATGAACGGATATCTACTTCTCTCATATATGGCATCAAAGGCAGGAATCCACAAGTCCAGCTTGGTGAACCTTTGAGTCTTAGAGGCTTACTTACAGGAGCCTAGGGGACTCCAAAACAGCTGCATCACAGAAACTCCCACCCCAGAACAGGGGATGGTGTCACTATAGCTACATAGATGGAGTCCTCACTTCAATCAATCCCCCCACCACCACCACCCCCGGCATGTGCCGGCATCTTCCAAGAACACATGCACCAGGGGCGGAATTACACATAGCTGGAGATGGCAGGCAACAGAGTGGCTGGAATCTCTGGTGACAGTCTGGTGACCCTTCCTATCCCCCTCCTTCTATGAGAGAATGTCAACAGTCAACAGGCTGCAACCAGTCTTAGCAGGCTCTCTTAGTTTGGGTAGACGCAGCTGCTCTGATTGAGACAGCAGCAGCCACGTCACACCCCGAGGACAGCTGTCCCACAGCAGTGCTGGCGAGGCAAGAGTTGGGACAGGGAAGGGTGCGGAGGGGTAGGGAGCCACGGCAAGCTCAAGGACAGAAGAGGAGTGTGGGCACAACTGTGTCTGGGGAAGCAGGCTCCGGCTGCTCTGTGAAGGTGAGCAGGAGCAAGGCAGGTACAGGAAGCTAGTGACCTCACGACTAGAGAGGGAGGTGGAGCTGACCGCCCCTCCCCACCCCAGATCCTGCGTGGACCAGAGAGCAGCAAGTGGAGCTCCGAAGAGGATGACTAAGTGTTGGGGTGCGGATAGCCAGGAACAGTCCTCATCCGGTCCCCCTCAAACCCGACCTGACCTAGTCTACACCAGGTGGGCGGGATCCTGGGCCTGTAGTTCTTGAAGAGACAGATAGGCATCAGTGTTTGGAGGCAGCTCGGAGGCCCGGGCCGTGTCCTGGCCTTGCTCACGAGGGCTGCCTTCAGGGACACTGGCTTGCTCCCCCGAGCTTCCAGCAGGCAGCCCCTCTCCATCACCTCCCTGCACCAGCTCCGGAGGGCACTGCAAGCCCATCATCAGGTCAGGAGATGGGAGGGGGGGAAGTCCTTCCTGCAGGGAGAGGGCAGGCTTCTCTTCCGGGGCGACTACGCCCCCAAAGGCAGTGTTGGGGGTGCCCAGGCTGGGGGAGAAAAGCAGCAGGTCCTCTCTGGGTGGGAAGTCACAGTAGTCATCCTCTTCCCCAGCCAGAGGGAGCAGAGGAGGGAGGGAAGATCCCTCGGGCCGCCCAGGCCCATCCTCCTCCACGTCTTCTTCTTCTTCCGCGCAGGGGTCGTACGTGAAGTACACTTGGCAGGACTCGATCTCCAAGGCGTTGGGCAGGTGGAAGAAGAAGTAGCCTTGGTTGGTGAAGCAGCTGGTCTGGGAGTGGCCGCTGGGCGAGGGTGAGGGGGCTGTGTCCTGCTGTAGCAGGAGCAGCTGCATGGCCTTGGTGTCTCCCTCCAGCACCTCTAGTGGAGAGATCTCAGGGGCAGGACCAGCTGGGCTGAAGGAGGATGAGGGGAAGGGCGAGGAGAGCCATTTCTGCCAGAGAAAGTGAGGAGAGTGAGTGGACCGTTCTACCTCCTGCCGCACCACTGAACTCAACTCCTCGTCCTCGTCCTCGTCCTTGTCCTCATCCTCCTCCTCCTCCTCCTCCTCCTCCTCCTCCTCCTCGTCCTCCTCCTTCTCTTCCTCCTCCCCCTCCTCCTTCTCCTCCTCCTTTTTTTCCTCCTGGTCCTCCAGCAGCAGCCCCCACCCCTGACCTAAAAGCATCCTGTAGCTTTGATATCTTGATGGACTTTCTGGACTTATCAGCCTCGGCCACATGCTAGATGAACACAGCCACAGTACTGCTTCACAGGTGTCCAGGGGATGTTGACTAGGAGCGAGTGTGGCTGGCTGGCGAGCCCCTGCTGTGTACCTGGACTAAACTGGGTGTGAGGACACAGAAGGGCCAGAATCCCCACTGGCCTGTATGGAGTTAACCAGCCGGTCATTGTCCCTGAGGGCCCATCCTGCTCAAGTCACAGGCAGCCAGTGCAGAAGGACACAAGTCCTGCCCGCGGTGATAAAGAACTGGCGGGTCCCCAACTCACCTCTCCCCGAAAGATTCTATAACTTGCCTATGCTTACACAGCCAGGCAGTGGCAGAGCCAGAGTCAGGGCCGTGTGACTTAGAAGCATGCCAGAGCAGGGACAGAGCTGGGCCCACGAAAGAGGCTGCTCACTTCAGCATCCTGGATCCTCTCACTAGGGCAAAGCCCTTGTTACCTGATCATACCTCTGCCCTGCAGCCTGTGTTTGGGGTGCCCATCAACCACCCCCCTCTGTCTTCTACCCCTGGCTCCTACCTGAAGGTCTCCTCCGTGCTGGGAGCTCAGCTGGGAGAAGAACTCAGAGGGGTCTGGGACGTGGCATTTGAGAGCTGTCTTCAGCCTGGCCAGGGAAGACGGGGAGGGGTGAAGGGGGAGTCCAGGAGGGGTGGTGTGATGTCCTACCACCAGCTCCCCGGGTCTGAGACTAGGGGAGGGGCCTGTTCCACGTCCACTCATTTATTCAACCATGCTGACCGAACACTCACTAAGGGAGAACACTACACGGGGTACTGGGGACCCACGAGTGGACAGCAGAGAAGGCCTCTGCTCCCCAGAAGCTGACACACTGACAAGACAGACCTAAACCAAATGTGTGACAGGGTTGCTCATTCCGTGGACCCAGAACTGAGCACTGGTCAAGAGATAGCTCTTGAGTGGGAGAGACTATGGTTCATGGCACCATTTCCAGTGGAGGCCCTCGGGGGTCAGGCTAGAGAGGAAGCAGGAGCAAGGCCTCCTAGGGAGCACTCTCATGGATGGCGGCGCCTGCCCTGCGCTGCGTAACAGCTGGCCTTAGGGAGACAGTGACCGGAAGTTGAATTCTATCTCAGGTTCTACTTGCTAAGCTGCTCAGAACCTGAACATATCCAACTGGAGAAAGGGGAGCCGCTTTCTGAGTGGCGCAGCGTCTCCAACAGAGGCCCCTCAAGGGTCAGGATATATTACTGGTGTGGCGGGGAATCTCTAAGGAGGGTTAAACAAGAGTGTGACATGGTTGGAATGGGTAGGAGGGGACCAAGGGCAACAAGACAGACACTCAGAGGCTCCTGTGACCTTCAGGGGAGCCCCGGGGGACTCTTCCTGCTGCGATCTGTCTCCCCTTCCCATACCAGCTTCCACCTTTGGGGATGGGGCCCAGGGACAAGTTAGCTGTTGGGGGAGGGGACAGAGGAAGGCCAGGTGTGAGGGAGCAGGGTTCAGGCCAGCCCAACCTGGGAAAGACGCACATGACAGTGATGGGGTGGGAAAGGAATTCTGGTCAGGAACATCCTTACCATGGGCCGAGGTACTGGCACTTGACTAAGACGTAGACACAGACCAAGAAGCCAAAAGCACACCCAAGGCTCAGTAAAAGGTGTCTGAGCCATGGTAGGGCCAGGGTCTCCTTCCCGGAATCTGTTCAGGGTGCAAGAGAAGGTAGAAGGTGAGAGGTGGCCCCTCAGCAGGCTAGCTGAACCCCAGATCCACCCCACCCCCACCCCACTCCAATGTCACACCCTGCCAGGTATCAGTGTCTAGCCAGGCTTGCTTTTACTGGGGACTTGATCCTCGATCCTACTCAAGCCCACCTGTCCTGAAAGGCAGACTGTGCTTCAAAAGCAATGGCCCTGCGGCATTCCCTGCAGCAGAGCCCATGGCTGTACCAACTGGACCCCTACTTGTTACTGAGGCTGCCCCTGAGTATCACACCTAGAGCTTCTGGGTCCCTTGAACACTCAGCCAGTGACATGACGAGGGATGCGCCTCTAAGGGTCCCCCACCAGCGTGGCAGCCCCACAGTATCCAGGCTAAGAGGCTATGCCTACTTTATTTCTGTCAGGGCTACCTCACCTCACAGCACCTGGCCTACACGTAAAGCTGGGGGAAAGTAGCCCTTGGCCCTGAGAGTGGACCCAAGACTCCCTACCACACATGGGCCATGGCTGATCCCCTCAGTAGCCCTGCCTCTGGCAAAGTGAGTCTATGGGAGGTGCAGATCCACCCCCCGTAGCTCCTAGAGCACCCTGGCCCCTGCCCAGCTCCCTCCACGCTGCCCATTGTACCTGTTGGCCTTGTCCGAAAGGCCAGGGGCTGGCTCCAGGGGCTCCAGGTGCTGTGTTCACCTCGTTTGGCCCTGACCTGCACCTGGAGCTCGTATGAGGTGTCGGGGGTAAGCGTCTCCAGGTTGATCCACTGCTGTCTCTGCTGAAGGCTTAGCAGGCGTGCATCCTGAGCAGAGATGGGTGCCGCTCAGCAAGGTCTCCGTTGTCCACCTCACCTCCCACAGCCAGGTCAAGAGGCTGAGCAAGCAGCCTCTCCCTGGCCCTCTCAAAAGCTCCCTGCTCCCCCAGCTGCTGGGGCCCTGAATCCCGGGGTCCCCAGGGAAGTATAGGAATGAGTGTGTGGATGATGAGTCTCAGCCCACCACCCCCTGAAGCCCTGAAGCCAGGGAGTGCCTGGATTTGGAATATGGAAAGGCAGCTGCTGAGCCTCAAATATTGTCTCGCCATGGGGTCTACATAGGTGCATCCTCTGGCTATAAGAGCATGGGAGGAGCAGGCAGTGATAAGCAATCAGGGAGGACCACCGTGAAAGAGCTGCACATCAGTGTGTAGAAATGGACAAGGGCGTGCATCAGAACAGGAAGGTGCAGCAGAGGCAGGGGATTGGCTATGTCCTCACCTCCCAGCTTTGGCCCAGGGAACGTGTCCGGGCCTGAAATTCCAAGTATCTATCAATGTAGTGAGAGACCTGAGAGACCTCCCAGCTTATGTTGCAGCTCTGGGTTTCAATGTGTAGAACTTGGAGTGAGTGAGGGGCCACCAGGCGGACTGTAGACAGAGAGGAGGGAACAGGTATCACGGATCAATCAGTAAGATACCAAGAACATTCAGCCCTGTTTCCACCACACAGCATCCCCAGCACCAACTCCTCCTCAGCAACTGTCCTGACTCCTTCCCTGCACCTGCTCCTCCTCCTCCTCTGCACCTGCTCCTCTTCCTCTGCACCTGCTCCTCCTCCTCTGCACCTGCTCCTCCTCCTC